TGGATCGGTCGGTGATTGTATTCATTGATGATATTTTGGTATATTCGAGATCTAGAGAGCAGCATGAGGAGCATTTGAGGGAGATCCTCGGAGTTCTGAGGTCGGAGAGGCTTTATGCCAAATTCTCCAAGTGCGATTTCTGGTTGCGAGAGGTTCAGTTCCTAGGACATCTTGTTAACCAGGAAGGGATATTGGTCGACCTGACCAAAGTTGAGGTGGTGATGAGTTGGGAGGTGCCGAGGTCACCCTCCGAGATCAGGAGTTTTCTAGGGTTGGCCGGTTATTACCTGAGTTTTATCAGGGATTTCTCTAAGATCGCAGTGCCACTCACTAGGTTGACCCGGAAGGGTGTCGCTTTTGCATGAGGCCCCGAGCAGCAGGCCTCCTTTGAGACGCTTCGCCAAAGGTTATGCGAGGCCCCGATGTTAGCCCTCCCGGAGGGAATGGAAGACTGTGTAGTATACTGTGATGCATCGATCTTGGGGTTGGGAGCGGTGTTGATGCAGAGAAGGAATGTGATAGCATATGCATCGAGGCAATTGAAGCCTTATGAGATGAGGTATCCCACCCATGACCTAGAGTTGGGGGCAGTGGTGTTCGCCCTCAAGATTTGGCGCCACTATTTGTATGGGGTTCGGTGTACGATATACACTGACCATAAGAGTCTAAAGTATTTAATCGATCAGCCCAACCTAAATATGCGGCAGAGGAGGTGTTTGGATGTGGTTAAGGATTACGATTGTGAGATCTTGTACCATCCGGGCAAGGCTAATGTGGTGGTCGACGCCCTGAGTCGCAGGGCGGAGAGCTCCCCGTTGCGAGATGTATGTTTGCGGTTGACCGTGATGACTCCGATGTTGGGCACCATTCGAGGAGCATAGGCTGAGGCAGTGAGGTCAGAAAACCAGAAGAGGGAGCGAGTTGTTGGGTTGGTATCAGAGTTCGTTACCGATGGACGAGGGCTTATGACTTTTCAGGGGCGTATTTGGGTACCGTTTGTGGGAGGAACGCGTACCATTTTGATGGAAGAGGCTCATCGGTCGAAATTCTCGATCCATCCTAGGGCCACTAAGATGTATTTGGATTTGAGGAGGGAGTATTGGTGGCCTTGTATGAAGAGGGATGTTGTGTGGTTTGTTGAGAGGTGCTTAACCTGCCGTATGGTTAAGGCCGAACACCAGAGATCGCATGGTAAGTTGCAGCCATTGGAGGTTCCTGAATGGAAGTGGGAACAGATCACCATGGATTTCATCACCAAATTTCCAAGGAGTGTTCAGGGAGTTGATGCAATTTGGGTGATTGTGGACAGGTTGACGAAGAGCGCTCACTTCCTTGCTATCAGCGAGAGTTCTTCCGCAGAGAAGTTAGCAGAGATATATGTGAGGGAAGTAGGATTGCAGCATGGGGTGCTGGTCTCGATTGTCTCAGACCGGGATGTACGTTTCACTTCTTGATTCTGGAAGAAGTTTCATGAGGAGCTGGGTACTAGGCTGCATTTTAGTACCGCATATCACTCCCAGACAGACGGACAGAGTGAGCGGACGATTCAGACGCTCGAGGACATGCTCCGAGCATGTGTATTGGATTTCAGGGGAAGTTGGGATTCGTATTTGCCTCTGGCTGAGTTTTCTTATAACAACAACCATCATTCGAGCATCGATATGCCACCCTTTGAGCTGTTGTACGGGAGGAGGTGTCGGACCCCCATTTGCTAGGGAGAAGTCGGACAGCGTGTTATGGGAAACACTGAGATCGTACTTCAGACGACAGAGCAGATCCAACAAGTCAGACAGAGGCAACTGACTGCACAGAGTCGACAGAAGAGTTATGCGGACAGACGCCGGTCTGAGCTTGAGTTCTAGGTCGTTGATTTTGTGCTCCTAAAGGTCTCTCCTTGGAAAGGAGTTATTCGATTCAGGAAGAGGGGCAAGTTGGGGCCCTGATATATCAGACCATTTCGGGTAGTCGCGAGGGTAGGCAGGGTAGCCTATCGTTTGGATTTGCCAGCAGAGTTGGGGCAGATTCACGACACTTTCCATGTGTCGCAATTGCGGAAATGTATAGCCGATGATTCGACAGTGGTTCCATTAGAGGACATTCAGGTGGATGCGAGCTTGAATTATGCTGAAAGACCAGTGGCAATCAGAGATCGGAAAATCAAAGTTCTGAGGAACAAGGAGGTACCTTTGGTTTTGGTTCAGTGGTAGCATCGGAAGGGGTCCGAGATGACTTGGGAACCGGAGCGTGAGATGCGCGAGCAGCATCCAGAGTTATTTGCAGAGCGAGACTTCGAGGACGAAGTCTAGTTCTAGTGGGGGAGAATTGTAACAGCCCGGAATTTCCAGGTATTTATTATTGGTGCATTTTTGAGAATTGTGAGTGGACTCGGCGAGTTGGAGCTTGAACTCGCCGAGTAGGATCGCGATTTTGGGCGCGGGTTCGCGTCTGGACTCGGCGAGTCCACGCTGTGTAATGAAACCCTAATTCCCAGGGTTTGAGACCTATTTAAAGGGCCTTATGGCCGTCATTTGTGCTCACCAGTCCATAAAGAGCAACACTAGAGTGCTTGAACGTTTTGAGAGAGAAAGGAAGCCATTCTCGACCTTTGTGGTGTTGTTTAGCAAAGAAGAAGGAGGTCCTAACCAAGAGGAAGCAAAGGAGGTTGCTATACTGTGGATTTGAAGCTTAGATCATCGAACTTGAGGTATTATTTCAACTCATCTTCTGTTTTATGAAGTATAATTGGATTTAGGGTTTCTTGTGGCCTTTGTTGGGTTGATTTGATGCCCAAATAGTCCCTTGCTAGTGATGAGGCTTTGGATCTGGATCCATAGAGGTCCAGAGAGCCTCATTCATTAAGCTTTATGAAGAACAATGGAGGTTATGACCTTGAGTTGTGGTATTTGTGGCTAAATCATCATATATGGTCATATAGAGGTTGTATGCACATCAAGATAACGACTTTACGTGATAAATAAGCTTGGAAGAACTGGATCTATGAGTTAGTGGAACTAATCTGACCTTAGGAGTGAGTTTGAGTCGTTGCATGGCATGGACTCGCCGGTCCGAAGAACAGACTCGGTGAGTAGCATGAAGATTGCCCAGCACCACTCAACGAGTGGTCTTGCCGAGTTGAAGGATTGACTCAGTGAGTCAGGGAGAGTCAGAGTGGGTTGACAGGTGGGCTGAGTCAAGCTGGGACTCGCCGAGTTGTTCTTAAGACTCGGCGAGTTGAGTCGTGGAGGCCCCACAACTCATGCCAGGTGCAACTTATCGAGTTAGGAGAATACTCGACGTGTCAAGTGAGGATTCCAGGGAAATCAGTGTATGCGCTTAGACTCGCTGAGTCGTTATAGTGCACTCGCCGAGTCCGGTCAAAGTTGACCATTGACCGTTGACAAGTGTTGACCTATGTTGACTTGTTTAGGGATAGTCAACCTTAGTTGGGAAAGTGTTAATTAGAGATGTATTGTGTTATAGGAGGACTATAGCTCGGGAGATCGAGCACTAGTGATTTCAGGGATTTACGAATTACCGAGACACGCGAGGTGAGTCTTCTCACTATACTTTACCTTGAGTAGGTAAATAGAGTTATGTGATACAGTGCTTGTATGCTATATTTATATGTTATGTGTTGCGCTGCATTATTTTTTGTGATTTATGTTGTGCATGTTTACAGAGTTAGAACCTGAGGGTTCACAGAGTTTGGGTGCACGGACCCACATAGTTATAGCCTCGAGTGGCTAATATGTGTTATATGTGGTATTTTGGGGAACTCACTAAGCTTTGTGCTTACAGTGTTTGACATTATTGTTTTAGGTACTAGTGACGATCGCGGGAAGGCGCCGGCTTGATCCGTACACACACATGGGATTTATGATTTTTGAGATCTTGGGATTTTTGTATTAATTGGATTGAATGTTCAAAATGGTTGTTTTATGAATATTAAGTGAATTATGTTTTATAAAATTTGAAAAATTTGTTTTGAAATTTACGGTGTTACAGTAAATGCAAGTGATTACCAGCGTAGCTGGTTGTGATGCATCCTGGTTGAGCACATTTGGAGGATTTTTCTTGGATTGGCATGGGCTTGATTCTTTGTTTCCTTGGTGGTCAGTGGTGCCCCTCTTGGTGACTCATCATACATTCATGATTCATTGTATCGGATTACCTTCTATTTGCCGGTTTGAAAAAAAAAAAAGATAACTCGGTAAATAAAAATATATCGGAATAAGAAAGTTTTTGAAGAAACCTCATAAACAAAATAACTTAGAAAATTAATATATATATATATATATATATATATATATATATATATATATATATATATATATATATATATATATATATATATATATATATATATATATATATAATTGCGGTTGGTTAATAAGGATTGTTTATCGTCATTAATTTAAATTAATTGAAATATTATTTAGACATACATCAATTATTATTTATAAAATTTTGTTTGTAGTTATATGATTAAATAAATTATTTTTTTATTCTATAAGTTTTCTTTTACTATCAACTGTACCGGTTATAACCTAGTGAAAGAAATAAAATATTGGGGTTATGAAAAAATGAAGTGATATTTGGAGAGGGTCTTACTCTTATATAAGTGATCTCTCTAACCAAAGTTTATGCATCTATTATCTATATCTATTTCTCTCACATGCATACGCAAACATTAATGGAGGAAGGAAACCCTGCTTCGCCGGTTGCTCTTATTGTTGGGGTCACCGGCATGGTGGGTATTGCCTTAACAGAAGCCTTAAACAAGCCAACGGCATTAGGTGGTCCGTGGACAGTCTATGGTGTATCACGGCGGTCATTACCACCGTGGTTCCCATCCTCTCTTCTTAACAATTACCTCATTCTGGACACCCTAAACCAAGAAGAAACACAAAAACTCCTTTCTCCACTTTCCTCCAAAGTCACTCATCTCTTTTGGGTTGCTATAAGCGTTAATGAAAGTGAAGAAGTTAACATTTCCCTTAACTCTACTATGCTTTCCAATGTCCTTAACACGTTAACTTCCTCTCAAGACTCAAAACTCAGGCATGTGACATTGCAAACAGGAACAAAACAATATATGGGTCCTGTTTTTGACCCATCCCTTTCAGCTAAACTAGTTCCTCATGATCCACCATTTAGAGAAGATTACCCTAGAATACCATTTCCAAACTTCTACTATGCTTTGGAAGACATTGTAGCTTCCTACCCAAAATCCTTTACCTACTCCATACATCGATCATCCATAATCATCGGTGCATCATCAAGAAGTTTCTTTAATGAACTTCTCACGCTTTCAGTCTATGCACTAATATGTAAATTATCATCTAGATCTTCCTTTGAATCATAATCTTAAATTAACTTATATGTTTTTGTTTGTATGTATGTTGTAGGTATTTTGGCAATAAGTACTGCTGGGAACACTTTTGGGATGGGAGTGATGCTAGAGTGCTAGCCGAGCAGCAAATATGGGCTGCGGTGACTGACAAAGCTAAGAATCAAGCTTTTAACTGCACTAATGGTGATGTGTTTACATGGAAACAGCTATGGAGAGTGCTTTGTGATGCGTTTGATGTTGAGTTTGTGCCATTTGATGAGAACGAGAAGTTTGATTTTGTTGATTACATGAAGGATAAAGAAGAAGTTTGGGACAGAATTGTTGAAGAAAATGGATTGTACAAGACAAAGCTGAAGGAGATAACTTGCGTCGATGCATCTAATGCAATTTTAAAGTTCGAGTTTCAACATGTTTGTAGCATGAACAAGAGTAGAGAATTTGGGTTTCTTGGGTTTGAAAATACACTTGCTAGCATCGTGGTATGGGTTGAGAGGTTGAAGCAAATGAATATTCTTCCATAGGCATTGTATAGATTGTAGATCAATTTTTATTTGCTGGAATAAATACGCTAATTATGGGCTATGTGTAATTACTTTATGTTCCTAGTTGTTACAAACAAATGCAGTACTACTGATTTATGAAATAAATTAATCGATAATTTGGTGCATGATAACATATAATGGTGAAAAGTAATATTTAAGAAAATGATTACCTTTAGCATGCGGCTAAAGTTATCAATAATATCAATAATATCATAAGTTAAACATATTTAGCAAGGACAATTGTCTTCGCTGAAAACTTAGCATAGATTTAATAATATCATAAGTTAAACATATTTAGCAAGAACAATTGTCTTCGCTGAAAACTTAGCATAGATTTAACGATAGTTTTGCAATATTTCTCAAATGTTTCATAAAATAAACAGATAAAAATTCTACATATCTATTATAATAAATGAAAGTTTTTTACCACATATTCTCTTTTTACTCATTTGGATACATGATATTTTCGAAAATTTTTAAATTTTCTATTTTCCACTTGTCATTTTATTGTATTTTTCATTTTATTAAATTAAAATTTAATATTTAATATGTAAGGTAATATATATGTAAAGTATTTATTAGAAATGGTTTATATATGTAATGTATTAAAGTATTTATTAGAAATGGTTTATATATGTAATGTATTAAATACATTAAAATCTCATTAATTTTAATAATTCAAAAATTTTATTATTTTTTCTTATAAATTCAAATTATTCAAACTATTAAAATTTCATATATATATATATATATATATATATATATATATATATTTTAATTAAACTCGTGTAATACATGGATTTCACGCTTAGTTTTTATAAAACAATAAAAACTTCACAATTCATAAATAATTGTAAAATATTAAATCAATACAAAGTTTAATTATTCAAATTCCATCATAAACTATAATTATTTATCTCCATCCAAGTCTTCTCCATCGTCATCACCGGATTGGTTCTTTATTTTTCAAATTTTCTGGTGCATGATTTGGATTAGTAATATAAGCATTGTAATCAAATTGAGGCAGTAACATTAGTTCAAACGGTTGAAAGTTCGCATTATGAATACATACTGATTTTGGTATAGTCGTTGTTAGGAATAATCCGGAAGCTTAGAAGGATTCTAGGATACTTTAATTTAATTATGGAAAGTTAAGTCTATAAGAAAAATTAGTAGTTTAGTTCAACTAGGAATTTTTTAATTGGTCAATAAGTCTAGGAATGTTATTTTTTTGTTTACCTGTAAGCAATTGTAGTTCTTTTCGGTTTTAATAATAAGAGAGAATTTTAATAATAAGAGAATAAGGAGTCTTCTCCTTATTTCTTCGTATTATATGGGTAAACCAGCTCTTAGTCCTATTATTACATAAATTAATTTAAAAAAAAAAAGTTAAATATGAAGGTCTAAAGATTTGAGAATTATGAATTTATAAGAAAATAAAAACTAATAAATTATCAAAATTAAAATGTTTTTTTTTTTTTTTTTTTTTTTTTATCTTTTAAATTTAAACAAACAAATTAAATAAATAAAAAAAAACTAATAAACTTTAATTTGAGAATATTGAAATTAAACGGTAAGTCCATTAATAAAATTGATATATATTTATTGTATTTATTATATTAAAATATTATGTAGAATTTAATAAAATAAGAAAACTCATAAAATGACATGTGGAAAAAAAATTAATTCAAAATAACAATAAAATTACATTTGACAAGTTGAATGAGAATGTGATATGTAGCTAAAAAATTTTCATTTATTAGAGTTGATTACACCAATCGTTCCTCGTACACATGCAAGATAGCGTGTTTAGTCTCTATTTTTTCAAAAATTAACTTGGCAGTCCCTCATTTGGTTTAAGTTTGCATGCTTCATTCCTCAAGACGACTTTATTGCAAACTTAGTCCATATTGAAATGATGATAATATCCTTATGTTTTTAATTTTCAATTAATTTAATGTTTTTATTATTTTATTTATCATTTTTTTTTAAATAGAGGCCCTACATTTTTCCCACCTTTAAATTGTTTCTAATCGAAAACAAACTCACAAACATGGTGAAGCCACTTCCAACGATAATACCCACCCAAAATTGTTGGTTAAATCGACGGCCACCGTCATCATCTCCACCTTTGGAGATGGTAACCTCGCTGACTACCATCATCAATGTTGAAGCCACTTCCAGCGACATCTGATGTCACTGCATCGCCGGATAAAGGTTACCTTGCAAAGTCGCCATCACTACCTGTGCGAATCTTCCAAACCTCCAATCGCCACCTTCAGATGCATATCCAAAAAGACAAAGGGATATGACATCGATCTAGGGTTTGTATTATGACACTACAGATGGAGACGGTGATTTAAGGTTTGCGTTCGCCTGTCTCTTCTTTTTCTCTGACCATTTCTGACAGGGTCGGTCGACATGTTCTTTCTTTTCGGTCCATCAAATGTTGTTCTTAAAGAGAAAGGGCTACAAGAGAAAGAGAATGGTGAAGTTCTTAGAGAAAAAAATGGAGGCATCGATTTAGGGTTTGTGTTATGACACTACAGATGGAGACGGTGATTTAAGGTTTGCGTTCGCCTGTCTCTTCTTCTTCTCTGACCATTTCTGACAGGGTCGGTTGACATGTTCTTTCTTTTCGGTCCATGAAATGTTTTTCTTAAAGAGAAAGGGCTACAAGAGAAAGAGAATGGTGAAGTTCTTAGAGAAAAAAATGGAGTTCTTTCTTTTCTGTCCAAAATCATCGAAGACGTTTTTGGGGTCATCAGAGATGAAAATGACAAATATTGAAACTGAGAATATGATGGTGGTGATGTTTGATCTTTACAGATAGTTAGGGAGAAGAAAGAAATGTAGGGAAAGAAAAAAGGGGAGGGGTGGGTAGGTGTATATATTTTTTTCTTTTTTTATTAACTGAAAAATGATAAAACAAATAAAAAAAATTAAAAAACAAATTGTAAAGGGTAAAATAGCCTTTTTATGTCTTTAGGATAAAGTGTGCAAGGTTAAAACAAACGAGGGATGGTTTGAGTTATTTTTTTAGAATAGGGACTAAATGTGCATTTTGGCCAATGCACGAGGGATGATTGGTATAATTTACCCTTCAAATTTCTTCCTTCATGTTTTCCTATTGTTACTTTTCCTTCCTGTTATATTTTGCTTTCTTCCTAATTTATTAAACCAGGTTAAAGTAAACAAATTTTCAATGTTTAAGAAGACTTAACCTACATTTGGTATCACTACGAATCTGGTGCGATGTCGATCAAAGAAGGATCGGTTACTTTTCAATACCCAATACTGTCTAAGAAGAATTACGCAACATGGTCTATTAAGATTGTAACAACGTAAATTTTCAAACAAAAATTTTCATTTATAAAACACATAAAACTCACATATTATATTTCATAAAACCACAAGTGTCTCAAGTGTCAACATAAATCCACAATTAATAGTCAAATCCCAAAATCCTCAATAAGGTCTCGAACAGGTGTGTATAATCATGAAGGTGCCTTCCCACAATCCTCGGAAGTACCTGAAACACATAACACAATAACACGGTTAGCACGAAGCTTAGTGAGTTCCCCAAAATACCACATACAATACATTAGCCACTCGAGGCTATAACTTTGTAAGACCCTCCGGTCTATGTGTATTAGTGGGACCCTCCAGTCCTACGACTCGTTGGACCCTCTGGTCCGGTCTGGTTAGGACTCTCCAGTCCCATAGCTCGTTGGACCCTCTAGTCTAGTCTGGTTGCACAAAAAATAGCATATATATCATACAGAAAAATGTATAACTCAAGTAAGCACATACGACTGGCAGGTCACACATAAATACCACTCTAGGTAAATTTTAGTGAGAAGACTTACCTCGTAAGCTAGTAAGTAAAAGTCTCGTACTCAGAATCCTCGATCTAGCCTCCGCCTATTATAAGGATAATATCTCTAATTAATACTCTCCTCACACTCAAATACACCAAACGTTGACCTCTCTTACACTCTAGCCTTAGGAATGGGTAAAAGACCATTTTACCCCTCCCTGACCTCCATTACTCATTTTGACCAACCTTAAAGTTAATATAAGTCAACTCTAGTCAACAACCCAATTCGAACAGACTTTCCGAGTGCACTCATGCGACTCGTTGAGTCCCATCGTTTCTCAGTAATCTCATGAAGGTCCAGCTCCTCGAGGAAAACCTTAATCGACTCGTCGAGTCGGCTCATCAACTCGGCGAGTCCATTCAGACTCAATTTGTATTCAGACGATTTCACTGTAGAAAACTCTCTCACTCTCTAGATCTAAGATTTCCAGGCTTGAATATCACGTAAATCCTCGAGCTTTACGTTCATGCATGGTACTAAAGGGCTAGTAATGCCAAGAACAAGCTTGAGAAGAAGTTTCTCATTAAAAAGGCTAACATGGCTGAATAAAGTAGGGGACTTTCGACTCTAGGGACCTGACAAGGTCCAAATCTGATGTCCATCTCTAAGAAGGTGCTCAAAACCTTCAAGGTCCCCACAAGAAAATGGAAAATGAAGCCCTAACCCTAAAATCATGTGATCTATCCATACAAAAGTTAAAGGTCTGAACTTTATACCTTAAACAAAATCTCATGGATGTTTAAGCAGCAGATCTAACAGCCTCTTCACAAACCTTACTTGGAATCCTCATTTCTTCTAACAAAAAGGCACCAAAGATCTCAAGTAATGGCTCAAAACTCTCTCTCTAAAGCTCAAGGGGCGATAAGAGATTCTTCTCAGTGAGGTGTGGCCGCAAATGAGGCTATAAGTGCCTTTAAATAGGCCCCAAACCCACGGATTTAGGGTTTCCACTCACAGCGCCTACTCGGCGAGTCTACTCTTGGACTCGTCGAGTAGATCATTAAACACACATGGTCACACCCGCCTCTACTCAGCGAGTTATTGCACCAACTCATCGAGTAGATCAATGAACATAAAAAATAAATAATTAAAATAATA